AACTACTTTTTGCACTCTTGTAATTTATAATAAATAATCATAAATTGAGATTAAAATTTAGGATTAATAATGTAATATATTAAAATATGAAAAAAAATTTTATATTATTTAATAATTAATTTTTTATTTTAAAACTTTTTAATATTATATATTAATTATTAATTTAATAATATATTTTATACCACACCATTAATTTTAAACTTTTATCGAACTCCTATCATTACTCAATAATAAATATTTTAATGGCGCCTCTTAGAAACCCTCCTCTTAGCCTGTGAGTTTCCAGGGCTGCTGAACGCCGCCCCTTCTATTGAAAAATCGCAAAATCTCTGGCAACGTGTAGCTCTTGGGAAAGTTCCGGTCTTGCGCCCTGTAATCTGTGGGACAGAGAAGAGAGTGCAAAAGTGTGTTCTCTTCCACCAATTTTTTTTAGGGTTTACATTAATCTCGACATCTCGAAAGGAAGAATTCCAGGGGTTAAGATGGCCAAGCGAGAGCTTTCCAGTACTCTGAGGAGCTTGAAGGTAAAACGGGAGCCAAAGATATACTCTTTTCAATTCAATTCGTTTATTTCCTAGGTTTCTTAGATTTGCTAACTTGCGATTGGAACTGGGTTAGTGGTTTAGTGAATGTGGGTATTCATTCTTTATCTCTGTTGTTGAGTTTCCTTCTGCAATTTTTTAGGTTTGGTTTGGTTTGGCCATTGGGTCAATCTGTCTTCTATAAGTTTTCTTTTCTGTTTTCATGAATTCCCACTGGCCTTACGTTCTTTGAACTTAAGTCGGGTTTATGTTTCATTATTCCAATAGTTCATGCAAAGGGCAGCTCAGAAAGAGGAGAAAACTAAGAAAGAAGAAGAGGTCAAACCTGACTTAAGTAGCACCGTTAAGAAGAAGTGGTATGCCTTTGTTTTGTTTTTTCTTGAATTGTTTATTTTGATTCTAATATTCCATGAAGTTTATTGGCTAGCTTTGTTTCTTGAATTTGTGCTGATTTCGGTTGTGATATTTTGCGAGTTATATTAGCACGAGGATTGGACTTGGTTTTGCATTAAGTATTATTTGATTGATTATGTTGTCGTGGGAATTCAGGATCGTGGAATTCTATTTTGGACAGTTGAAGATGATTCTTAAACTAGATTGATGTTGTTCGGTAGTTTTAGGGTAATTAAATCAATCTATGCGATTTTGATGAAAATCAATTCCCATCATCTAGGGACAGTTTGAGCATTAGCTGAACATAGCTATGTGGCTATGAGGGCTCTTGCTGCCAATTTTTGGAGGCAAAAAATCATATCATGGTTTTGGGGGCAATTGTTATCTTATCTTTTATTCTGTTATGGTTTTTGTTCTGCAATTTGTAGCATAGAACAAAACCATCATGTGTCTAGTGTCAAATGTCTATTTAGTAGTCATTACGAATATCAATAAAGTTACCATCTTCAGATTCTGGTTGGTCTTCCTTTGATTTGCCACAATCTCCTTGACCTTGATGCATATTTTTGTGCAACATCTTTCCTCTAAGATATGTATTCTATTTTGCAAAATTAGACTGCTGGGTTTCTTGAGATTATATAAGTTCAATTGTAGGGGCTGCTCATTTAACTCAACCTTTTTTATGGAGTTGTTCAATTTTTCACTCGTGTCAATGTCGTTCTAATGCTGTAGTGTGGTCATTATGGAAGGGGATCCCCATCCAGGAGCAACTATTGGGCGAATGTCATTCCGAAGTTTCAATCCTACTATTGATGTGAGTATTCAGGTCAAGTGGCCTGAGAATTCTTACTGTTTACTATTAACCTTCTGTGCTCTGCTGGCTTCTGCCCTTATTTGAAAGTCCTGTCTTTTCTTGGTAGAAACTGAATGAAAAAGCAGCAAACATAGGCCGGCCAGACAGCTCTGGTGGAAGAACTTTGTCTAGGTTGGTCTCTTACTGTCTTCTTTTTCTTTTTAACTCATGACTGTATATGGTTTTCTGAAAACAAAATTTTGGAAAATGTTCCACCCGCACTTGAATAATGCATGTTAATGCTCATAGGTGTTGATTAATTATTATCCTGACAAAGTAAAGACATGTGATCAAAACCACTAATTATTGAAAATAGATTTCAATACCTACATCTGTGTGCTTGA